TTTCGATTTTTCAACCTTTAGATTTTTTAATTTTTCGTTTTTTTAATTTTAGATCTCTCAATTTTTCGTTTCTTCAATTTTGCTGGTTTTCATTTTAAATATGTATCTGTATAATAATAATTATAATTATTAAAATTTTTCACTTTGTCAATTTTAAGATTTTAGAATTTTTCCATCTTTCGAGTAAGTATTCAACTTTAAAACTTTTTCATTTAATCGATTTTTCAATTTTTCGATTTTCAATTTTTCACTTTCTCTATATTTAATTCTTCAGTTTTTCGATATTTCGGAGTTGCAGTTTTTCGTCTTTACAATTTTATTATTATCATTTTACAATTTTATAATTTTTGGGTTTCGATTTTTCGTTTCTTCAGTTCTTCGATTCGCACTTTTTCGATTTTCCGCTTTTTCGATTTTGCAACTTTTCGGTTTGTCAGTTTTGTCACTTTTTTCAGATTTTTTAGTTTTTCGATTTTTTAAATTGTCGATTTTTCAACTTTTCTAGAAGAAACTGTAAAAAAATACACCAGAAAAGCAGAATGCATTTTAAAAAATATATATTCTGAACAGTATAATTGTTACAGCTAATATCCGAAATATGCGTAATAACTAAACTTGTCAGTTATTATGCAAAATAACCGGAAACCTTAGGAATTATGAGTAATAACTGAATTTTTCAGTTATTATGCACAATAACGGAAACGTTTTGGTAATATTGATAATAACTAACAGAGGAACAGGAATTATGCATAATACCTGAAACATTAGTCATTAAGCATATTGCCTAATAGGCCAGGGCCGATAATTTTTGAGAACAAAAAAATTTAGAACAAGATGATACCCATTGGAAAAGGAAGAAAATATAACAAAAATAAAAGGAAACATAATTTACAGGCGATCGGATTTTAAATTTTTGAGTTTATCAGTGTAACATGGAATCTTACTTTTTTCGAGTAATTAAAGTGTAAATTTTAATAAATAGCTCAAAATTTTACATGATTAAAAAAAAATTGAATTCGGGTTTTTCGTTTTTTGGATTTTCTGTGAAAATTTGCCATAGTAATGTATACTTTTTTTTACCATCAGAAAGTAGAGATTTCAACGAACAAAAAGCACACCGATTTTTTTAAAAAAGCACACATTTTGACGTGAGAATTTTCGATTGAAAATTAAGGTGGTTTTTCGATATTAAATCAAAATAAGGGGGAAAAATAAATATTTTGAACCAAAAAAATTACAGTGACTTTGGGACATAAATAGATAAGTTTTCACCAAATTTCGTGAAAAAAAAAACTTTTTTGTGGGAGATAAAAATAAAAAACCAAAAACTCGGTTATTTGCATTTTTCGCATAAATTTTGAGGTTATGTAAAGAAAGTGTAAATACAAAAGTTGTAGATCTTTTTATTATCTATAACTTTGCTATTTAACTTTTTGCGATAGGACTTGGAGTTTTGCCGGAAATCGTGATAAACCATTTTCTACCCTTAAAAGCTCACCTTCTTCCACTTCCCGACCTCAGATCGCCTGTAAATGATTTTTCCTTTTATTTTTGTTATATTTTCTTCCTTTTCCAATGGGTATCATCCTGTTCTAAATTTTTTTATCTACTTTCATTATGTTGTAGGAACAACCGTTCCCACAAAATCAGGTGTTCTACCTGAGGGCATTCGTAATATTTGTATAAATGTAAATATTTCCTATCCTTCGTTTACCTGCCCTACACTTCTTCATACTTTCTCTTTTCGCTTCTGGAACTTTCTAAACCCTTCTTTACCTACTTCCACCTCTTCAAATCCGAGCTTACCTGTGTACCATTTTAAACACCCTTCCTTCTTCTCCCTGGCACCCTCGAACAGTAAACAACGAAATAAAATCTCAAAACCGTACCGTCGCTTTTAAATCACCAACAATACCCACAATGTAATGTGCCAGATTACAGGTTTGTCTTTGATATTGTAATGGTAGTTTTTACCGCACTAAGTGCGGTAAAGGAACAATTACCGCACTAGTGCGGTAAAGAGTGACTTTTAGAAAAGAAAGTTTCAAAACCATTTATTAACATAAATTACACAGTTTGAAGCATTTATAAAGTTAACACCAGACGCTGTTCCCATGTTGAAGCTGGGCTTCTCCACCGTGACCTAATTTGTTGAACCCACAGTAACTGAAGAACCCGTTATTTTCGTAGCAATTATTTTCTTATTTTCGACAGATGTTTCAACATATCCTTCTGCCATGCTATCCGACTTCCAGCCTCTATGACCAAGCAACATGTTAATTATTCCCTGAAAATTTCCTCTCGGTATAGCAAATTCTACATAATTTTAGTTTTTGAATTCAGTAAGGTGATCTTGATAAATTCTTTTTCGGCTCTAACGTCTCGTGCCGTAAAATTTGTGATCTCCTCGTGTCGACAAGCACCAAACACTCCGACTATCAAAACAACCTGAAACTATATAAATTTGAGATTGTTTTTTATCAATATGAGTTGCAATTTACCTTCAAAAATAAGAAATCCTTATCATTCATTTTCTTAAGAAATTGATTTATCTCTTCTTTGGAACAAATAAATGATTTTCTGGGTCGGGAATCTTCTGATTTCCGAGAAGACAGCCACAACCTGATGATATTCAGAAATATCAACATTCTTCGTAATCAACACCAAGGTTCGCAACATGGAATATCGGCACCATAAGGAGGATGGTTTTAACTTCTCTGCTTGTTCAGCAAAATAGGAATGCATCACCTTGTTCAGAAACGTCACCAATTTTCTTAACTTCCATTCATTCATCAAAATATTTGTACGCTATCTCGTAACGTTCTTTAGATTTACCAGGAACTAACGTATCGATGGCAGATTGAGTAGCCACTTCAATATCGGAAGGCAAATTATCCTCTGAATCACTAATTTTTGCACATAAATTGCTTTCACTGAACGCTTGTGAAAAACGTAAACAAATCAGTAACTACGGTTACTAATTTAGCCGCCTTATTTTTTCTCCATAAACACAATTTAAAAAATTATAAAAATATCTGTGTTAATTTTTATGAAAATTATTGAAAGTAGATAAAACGTTGTACAATATTTGTATCGTAATGTTTCTTTACGATCCTTGATGGATTATCCAACTCGCCTTCGGCTCGTTGGACAATTTTTCCATCGCGTATCGTAAAATTCCACATTACGATACACATATCGTAAATATCTATTGTTCTCAAAAATTATCAGCCCTGGCCTATTAGGCAATATGCTTAATGACTAATGTTTCAGGTATTATGCATAATTCCTGTTCCTCTGTTAGTTATTATCAATATTACCTAAACGTTTCCGTTATTGTGCATAATAACTGAAAAATTCAGTTATTACGCATAATTCCTAAAATGTCTAGTTATTATGCATAATAACGAATTTCGGATATTAGCTGTAACATCATCATGTTTTCGGCAATCAAAAATGTGATATACCTACTTACTTCTGAAATGGTTCCAAAGCTAATGAAAACAATTTTATTCCGAATTTGGAACAAAGTTGATTCACCTCAACAGACTGATCAATAATAGTAGTAGTTTTTTGAAAAATATGACGAATAATAATGCTTCGGAAAATTATAATTAGCCAATAACACGTGACGTCACGCTGTGGCGGGAACTCAGCGTTTGACAAGCGCCGTGAAACTCCATAAGTGGCAATGTTAACATTTTCGCACATCATTTAAAAGTGTAGGTATTTATCTAGAAAATAAACACATGAATAGCTTCTTTCATATCTTTTCTGTGTATCAGGGTGCTTTTTTTGGCGATTTGAGTTTAAAAATACATAATAAAAATAAAAATACAGAACGCTGTTTTGGTCTGAATTCCTCGTCACCCAAAATACATCCGTGTGTTTTAAGCGGTAAATCGGAAATTAATATTTTCGTTTGAGGTTAATGTGACGGGTTTAAGTGAAGGTGTGTGATTTGTTTTTAAAGTATGGATAATTTAAGTGATTATGCACGACGTCTTTCTTTCAAAGAGAAAAACAGATATGTACAAAAGTTAAACAATTTAAACGGCGGAGATCCTTATATGTACAATGAGTGCAAGTAATTTTAATTTGTGTTTAGACCATGTCCCTACCATAACAATGAATACCATTCTAAACTTTTTTATTTTTGGAATAAGTAAAATAACCCACAATGAAATTCGTGCATTCAAAAGTCTAGAGGCATTTATTCAGTTTTCTCTTTTTTAAACAACTGTGTCTTTCAAAATTACAAGTATTTATGAGTGGATTTATTTTGATATCCTAAATTTTGTGATGGAACATAATCAGGATGGTCCACATCCGACAAATCTGCAGGTTTACCTAAAAGAGCACCAATGTAGTAATTTATTAGAAACTGTAAATCTAATAGGTAGTTACTGTACCTAAAATAAAATGATCCGAACAAACATAGGAATACTTTACTTTGGCTTCGTTAAATCCACTCGTTTCAAGGCTTTTAACCAAAGCTTCCGCTTTTTTTTCCCATCCTGTATATATTTACCTTTATTGTTGCTAATTGCTGGGAAAGGAAAATAAAATTTGTCCGCATTTCTTGTGCTTCGATTCGCGCAACCCACAACAGCACAAAATTTAGTCATTTTCTCCTAAAATACAAAATATTATAATATTAAGATGCTAGTGTATTTAAAAAACATTGATGTACATTAACAAAGAATTAATTTGCAAAACAAATGATATAAGATGCAGCGAAGTTAACCTGTACATCACATTGGAAAACATTATTTTTTAAGCCTATTCAAACGTTGTGGTGCGTTTTACAGATATCTACACAGTGTAGAAACTGTAACAAACTTACCAAACCATAAAAACACAGTTGTCACACTCTCAAATTTAAATGAATTCCGAAAATATTAGCATTGACTCTTATGAGAAAACCGGCTAGTTGTCAAACGCTGCCATCTTGGTGACCTCGGATGACGTCAGTGTATTTGGCTAATTCTGTACTGGCGAAATTTGTAGGAGAAAAAGAATAGATTTTACAAGAGATGTTTGCCACTGGTTAATCAGGGAATTCCGAAGGTGAATATATTTCCAAGCCATTACACAAAGAAGTCCTGGAGTTCATACTAAAAGGTATGTATATTCAAGAAGGATTAGAAGGAAAGCGGTGTTAAGTATGCCGAAAACGTCTCCGCTACGACAGAGTGAAGAGAAACACAAAAAATTTCCAGACAATGCAACTACGGATGCAGATTATGGATTGGATCCTCATCTAATGGACACGGAGCTCTTAGAAGAAGTAAAAGATGGTTATGTGAACAGAGTGCACAAAACTGTGACAGAAATAACCCAAATAGAAAATTTGACTAAGGAACAATCAAGTTGCACATTGGGGCATGAAGAAGGACGTACGGATCCGTCGTACACCTTACAATAGCGTGACGCGAAAAGGAAAGTACACGTACATATTTTAATATGGATTATTTATTCATCCAGCAGACAATTATTTAGGTGCCTTGCCAGATGGTGTTATAGGCAAAAATATACTTTTGGAAAAATGCCCATATGCGGCCATATTCGTCACACTCATAAAAAAGTAGACTTTGCAACAATTGTAAATAATAAATTCACCCTTAAACGCAATCTCAACTAGTATTATCAGGTTCAAGGGCAACTCTACGATGCTAATAAACAAAGTTGCTTCTTTGTTTTTTTAGACGCCAAAGGGAATCCTATATGAAAAAATTTACAGACACAACAAATTTTATACTGACAATCCAACTCGAAAATTCTTAACCAATACAATGGCAGAATTGTTTGAAATTTGTCCAGTGGCATTCACCGAAAAATTTTTTCAAATATAATATAACAAGTGGTCTGATTTTTTTCGACAAAATTTGTGACACAAATTACCGAGTAGCTGTTGCGACGAAAATCACACGAGTCGACGAAGGAGACGAGTGTGATTTTCCAAAAGCAACAGCTACGAGTTAATTTTCACACAAATTTTGCAGAAAAAATCAGATCACGAGTTATATTCGGCTTGACAATCCAAAGAGAAAATTTTTATTTACTTTTTACGGACAATAATTCACATAATTTATAGTTAGCGTAGTAGTTGAGTAACCATACCTACCTAGTCTAAATAGTAACAAAATAACAAGGCAAAACGTAAATAAATTTCTAAACATCAAATTTTGTGTGTGCTGCTGGTTGATTTTCTTGATTATGGGAGCAAGATTTGATAACAAAACTGTGTTTGAAATTCGAAATGCAGTGAAAGAAAGTCAGTGCCGAAAGACCGCAAGAACGCACGATTCAATTTGGAAGCAGAGTACAGAATTTTGTGAAATACGCAAGTTTCCTCTAAATAAAGCAGTTGAAATGAACGAGGTGGTCAGTATTTTGGAAGATTATGCCTTTAACGCCAACAGAAAAGTAATTTGTATTATTGTTTTTTTTTATTAAAGTTCATTTGACAAGTTTGACAAATTAATTTGACATAATTTATTTCGCTGAAAAACAGTGTTGTTGCCTGACAGAAGAATGTTTTTTCACTGAAAAAATTTTTCGGTGAATGCCATTGGACAAATTTCAAACAATTCTGCCATTGTATTGGTTAAGAATTTTCGAGTTGGATTGTCAGTGAAAAAACATTCTTCTGTCAGGCAACAACACTGTTTTTCAGCGAAATAAATTATGTCAAATTAATTTGTCAAACTTGTCAAATGAACTTTAATAAAAAAAACGATAATACAAATTACTTTTCTGTTGGCGTTAAAGGCATAATCTTCCAAAATACTGGCCACCTCGTTCATTTCGACTGCTTTATTTAGAGAAAACTTGCGTATTTCACAAAATTCTGTAAACTGCTTCCAAATTGAATCTTGCGTTCTTGCGGTCTTTCGGCACTGACTTTCTTTCACTGCATTTCGAATTTCATACACAGTCTTATTACCAAATCTTGCTCCCAGAATTAAGAAAATCAACCAGCAGCACACACAAAATTTGATGTTTAGAAATGTATTTACCATGTATTTACGTTTTATTTTGTTGTTTTGTTACTATTTAGACTAAGTAGGTATGGTTACTCAACGAATACGCTAACTATAAATTATGTGAATTATTGTCCGTAAAAAGTAAATAAAAATTTTCTCTTTGGATTGTCAAGCCGAATATAACTCGTGATCTGATTTTTTCTGCAAAATTTGTGTGAAAATTAACTCGTAGCTGTTGCTTTTGGAAAATCACACTCGTCTCCTTCGTCGACTCGTGTGATTTTCGTCGCAACAGCTACTCGTTAATTTGTGTCACAAATTTTGTCGGAAAAAATCAGACCACTTGTTATATTATATTTGAAAAAACGCAACAGAGATTGAAAGATTTTTTTTCAAATATTATGTGAATTAATTAGTTAAGGATGAGTACAAAAGTTATTTTTTTAAAGTAGAAGGTAGAGAGGTAAATAAATTCTTTGTTCCATATGTTTGAATTTTGAATTGTTTGTTGCTATTATTATTGTTATTTTATTTTTTACATTGCAACTCGAGTACACAAAATGTTTATTTTATTTATTGCATTGTTTGTTGAAATTGTAACAATCTTTTATATTTTTGTATAGTAATTAGTCTTATAATTTTTTATTAGCACATGGTACTGAAATTTTATCGAACTCTTATTCTGTGAACCTATTATTATTAATGTAAGATGTAGTAATACAAGAAAAAGGATTATATGCGTACGGTAGTAATTTATAGTTTATTTTATACATATTTCATAATGTATCAATAAATTTGTAAACAAGCTTAAAAATCATATTTTCTTCATAAGCGTTGTGCAAAATGTGTTTCATACCACCATCATCACTTGATCACTAAGTGTAGAAAATTCGAATCATTGCTTTTATAAATTATAATTCAGATTTACTGGTAATGTTTCTGTTCGGAAATCGTTTGTGTGCATAAAGTGTTTCTTTCGGTGGTTTGTTTGTAGTATAGTTTTGGAAATGTCGTTGTACCCTATAAAATTTTATTGGCAATAACCAGACGGAAAGTAGTACAATAGCAAGAGATATTTACAACTTAAGTTGTCGCGTGCCGGTAGTCCCCAGATGTTAATAAGCAGAGTAATCCAGGTCCGCACAGGGACCATCGTTACTCAGGAATGAAAATGACCATTATTTTGTGAGTATAACTACCTGCTAAATGTTCTCCGACAAATTCGGGTGAACTAGTGTGATCCATAAATATTTCGTACCATTGTACTACTGTCCGTCTCGTTATTGTCAATAAAATTTTATAGGGTAAAATGAAATTTCCAAAACTATACCGACAATCACGGTATACATCATCCACGCTATTACGGTGGTGAGTGGTCCAGACCAATATTCATTACAACGCTGCTAAGAGTCCACTGTTACTTGATGCAGCCTGGTGCGAAAGGACAACTTGTATTCCCACAAAGGTGGCAACTAAATATAAAACTATAGGGTAGTTGGACGACCTGTAGACTCATTATGCTCAACTGTTGTGTCGAAATTCTGAGTGATACCGCCTTAACTGCATTAACGCATTGTTAAAAGTGATATTCACAAATCATTTGGAAATTCCAAAAATTGTCTGTTTGTGGAAGGATCCCTAGAAGAGTATTCTTGGTCAATCTAAACCGTCGAAAGAAGGATAAATCGTCATATGCATCCATGGGCAACCTATGGCCCGCGGGCCGAATGCGGCCCGCCGACCGGAAACTTCCGGCCCGCCAAAGATTTTTTGATTGGTGTAACTTTGGCCCACAATGTGTACAATTGAATTCCTCAATTAAAATAAACGTTTTCAAATTTACAATTTACATTTTCAATTAAAAAAAAAGTTTGAGAAGATAAATTCCAATAATAATTCTTATTGAAACATAGTCATGTGAATTCTTGGAAGTCGTAAAAGACCGCGTCCCGACAAAACAACTGTTTCACGCATAGCAGGGTGGGATACGATGAAATCAAAAACAATTCGAAGAAATGTGTGCATGTGATATTATTGCAATTCGGTTATTATTTGTCGATTGAGGTGTAAGGATGGCATCGTCCAGCAAATGCAGAAAAGTCGACAACGAATGTCGTAGTTTTCAAGAAAAATGGACCAACGACTATTTTTTTGTTTTGCATAAAGAAAAGCCAATTTGTCTGATATGTAATGAATCTGTTGCTGTTTTAAAAGAATATAATATAAAACGGCATTTTACAACTAAGCACTCCCAAAATTTCGACAGATTTAGTGGTCAGATTCGAACGGACAAAATTGAAAAATTAAAGAAGAATTTATTAACACAGCAAAATATTTTTTTTAAAACAACACCAAGAAAGTATCGACATCGTTCGTGCAAGTTTTGTTGTTAGCCAAATGATTGCAAAACATTCAAAACCATTTTCTGAAGGAGAATTTGTTAAACAGTGTCTAACTTCTGTAGCTCACATCCTTTATCCGGACAAAGAGAAGAAATTTTGCAGAAGTCAGTTTAAGAAGAAGAACCGTGAGTAGAAGGATTGAAATGATGGGTGAAAACATTAAATTTAACTTGGCTGAAATCCTCAAAAAAGGTGTTGCATTTTCCATAGCACTCGATGAGAGTACTGACATTACGGACACAGCACAATTAGCTATTTTTGTTCGTGTTGTCGACGAAAACTTTGTTATAACAGGGGCGGCTTGTCCTATGAGGCAGGTGAGGCAGTGCCTCACCAATGAATTTTACGCCTTATTAGGATTTTTACTATTTTTTAACGACACATTTCGGCCAATAATTTGTGTCTTTTTTCTAAAATTTTAAAAATAAATATGGAAAATTAATTAATTATATTCTTATTTTTATCTCAGTAGGTACTCGTTGCTCCCTTAATTAAACAGCGCGCTGAAACACTCGACACAACATGTATTTTGTGACGCGAATGAGGCAAACTCGGAGCTTGCCTCTACAGCGGATATAGAAATCATATCGTTAATAGGCAAGCAACCTGCAATACACTCATAAGCGGTATGAGTTGAAAAAAGACAAAATTGAGGCTAGCCTCATTTCCGTGCTTGCAAAAGAGATGGACAACAATATTTGCGCGCGGAGAACGTGCGATTACAATGCAGTCTGCATTTGCAGAAGTATTCAAAATTAGGCCGTTGATTGTTTTGCCACAAATCTGTGTGTGTATAAATTGATTCAAAATTTCGGTAACAGAATTTTGTCTTAAAAGTGCCTACGTTTCTGTGTGTCGCGTTAGTGCTTTGTGCTTGTCATAATTTGATTTCGGTAATCGTTATTTAAGATTACGAGTAAATCGGAATTTTTCTCTACTAATGTTAAATGACAATAGCAGTTCTGTTTTTTCTACTTTCACGTATGATGATAAATTGTATGTAGTTAAGGAATTAAAACGGCCGGTTCCGGATTTGAGTAAATCGTTAATTATTGATCTATAAAAAAGTTTAAAATAAATCCAGAGTATTTATGTTTTATATGTTTTTCGTTTTTTTCTTTAAAGTTTATTTTAATTTTGTTTTTTTTTTAAGTTATATTAGTTTTTTTGACCACGTTTCCCTTTCCTTTTGTCCTGTCATTCCCATCCTTTCCTTACAAGAGTTCCTTACACCTTCACGTTGGTTCTTGGTGGACAGTTAAATGAGTTTACAAATTTGTTTATTTGACTAAGTAGAAAATATTTAAGTAATCTTGATTTATTTATATTTTGGAGCGTATTGTGCTTTGCCTCATCAACTTTTCAAGTCATGAGCCGCCCCTGTGTTATAACGGAAGAGTTGCTAGCACTTGAACCAATGAAGGATACGACGACAGACGAACACATTTTTCAAAAGGTGGTAAATGTTTTTGAAAGTTTTCAACTACAATGGAAAAAATTAAGTGGAGTATCTACAGACGGTGCTCGTGCAATGGGAAGTGTAGTATCAAGAATTGCATCTGAATTGCGTGATAGAAATGTAAAATAGAGACTTTTTTTGCATTTCATTGTATTATACATCAAGAAAATCTATGCGCAAAATCAATCAAATTTCGTCTTGTAATGGAGGTTGTGATGATTAAATTTTTTAAAATCGAAGGGCTTGAATCATAGACAATTTAAGGAATTTTTGGAAGATCTTGAGTCAGAATATGATGACGTTCTTTATTATACCGAAGTACGCTGGCTAAATAGAGGCAAGATGTTACAGCGCTTCTATAATTTGAAAAGTGAAATCCAAATTTTCATGGAAATGAAAGGGAAGTCAATTCGCCAGTTAACGGACGAGGTATGGCTCTCCGAACTTGCATTTTTAGTTGACGTTACCAGGTACTTAAATGACCTTAATGTAAATTTACAAAACAGGGGACAATTTATACATGAAATGTTCGCACACATCAAGTCGTTCCGAACTAAACGTCAACTATGGGAAACTCAGTTACGTGCAAAAAATACTTACCATTTTCCTATACTTGCTAGTTACAAAAATTTTGATTCTGCCGCTTTCGCAAATGAACTAAACGTATTAAAAGAAGAATTTTCAAGGCGTTTCCAGGATTTCAGTAAACATGCAAAATATTTTCACATATTTTTTAATCCTTTTGGTGTTGACGTAAAAATCATGCCAGAGAGTTTACAGATGGGGTTGATAGAGTTTCAATCAGATGATGCCCTGAAAGCCATCTTTAATAGAAATGTGACTTTGCTTGATTTTTATCAAAAATACCCAAATTTTAAAATTTTTGTGTGTAAAATAATGTGTCTCTTTGGTAGTACATATTGCTGTGAGCAGTTTTTTACGCAAATGAACTATACAAAATCCAAAAATCGATCGAGAATCACGGACCAAAATTTAGAACACACCTTACGAATTGCGTCGACTTCTCTTAGTACTGATATTGACGACATGATAAAAAACATTCAATGACAGAAATCCCACTAGTATACTTGCTAATGCGATTGAATAACTATTTTTAATAATTTCACATCACTATGTGATCACATATATTATGTTGAAGTGTCTTTTTGAATAATAAATTTGTTTTAATTTTATAGTTTACAGTACGTTTCTCCTGTATTAAATGTACCATTATTTTTGTTATAATATATAATAATTATTATGTATTATTGTTTATTTGGTGGCCCGCGGTTGCCCGATATTTTTTCCGTTAGGGCCGTCTTACAGAAAAGGTTGCCCATGGACGGTCATATGAATGAAATAAATCAACTCGATTCCTAATTTTGTCTAGGGACTCCATGTTGAATAATTTCCATTAATACTTTAATATCGTCGTCGAAAGCATCAGCAAATATATTTACTAATGCTACATCCATTTTAGTCGAAACGTTTTGTTAACAAAAATTTTTCAGTAAAATTACAGAATAATATAAGATACGAGTGCATTAGTTCGATCAGAAATTATTCCTTAACTTAGTTAAGTCCACTCATTCTGAGGCTTAAAATAAGTGGAAGCTACCTTCAATTTAATGAGTGGTGGAATGCATGAAGTTAAACTTAGGGATTTTAAGTGTCACTTGTTTCTTAAGTCCAACAGATGGAATCGAGCCTAATCGCAGTAATCACCTTACAGTTCCTACACGATTAAAACATGAGGACTGGGAATTATCGCTCACTTCGTGACATTCACGGGAATGGTGGCAATTCTGGGACACCTTTATACTACTTACTCGACTTATTACAGACTTCAATTAAATCTGAACCCAAAAAATTCTGGTCTTATGTTAGCAATTTAAAAAAATGTGGGAGTATGATGTAATTCCTTCGCAGATGACCTATATTCCTATAACAACAACCTCTTAGCGAACCCTAATCAAATCGAACCAACTAAGCATATGTAATAATTTTATTCCACAATCTGGGACACGGCGTGTGATATGTATTAAAATGAACAACAAATTTATTATTACGTTCAGATGTTCATAGTAAGGTACGAGACAAAAAATTATCACGGTGCAGAATTTTTGCCTAAATGTATTAAAAGCAAGTGAAGATATGTACCTGGTTGATTGAGCAATTCCATTTTTAATTAATTTAATAAAACATTTTCACAGAAAACACTAAACTGAACGAAATTTATTGAAAATATGTAATTTTGTTAACAGACTTTTTGTGACAAATTATATTATCACGCTTAAAAGGGAAATAACTAACTAACTAAATGAAAACTAATTTAATACCCAATGTATTTTCCACCTGCTTCTATGAGATTGTAGACGCGTTGCTTCATAGAATTGACCAAATGGATGAAGTAATTGACGTCCAAATTCTCCCAAGTCCCCAAGATACCATCTTTCGATTCATTAACTGTTGCGTACTGCTTCCCATCTTTATAAACCTCTCGTACAAGAGAACTCCATACATTCTCAATAGGGTTGAGATGTAGGCTTTTCGCAGGCTATTATAGCAAAGCTATATTTTGTCGTTGAAACCACGTTTTCGATGAATTAGACACATGAATCGACGCATTATTTTGCTGAAAAATCACTTTGCTGTCTTGAAATACATTCAAAGGTGGTTTGAGGTGCATTTCCAACACATCTTGGTAATTCAGAGAGTCCATTCGATTTGATTAATGCTAAGTTATTATTTCCTAAGCTACTAAAGGCACCCCAGACTATAACATTGCCACCTCCTTGAACTCGTATTGACAAATACTTTGGTTCTTTCCGTAAATCGCGCCAAAAATATCTAAAACCATCAGGACCATCGAGATTAACTTTCTTTTCATCTGAAAACACTATCTGGAACCATTCTTCATTTTTCGTCTGCATTTCTCTGGCCCATTCACGACGTTTTTGAATATGTTCTTTTGTTAACATTTGTTGTTTCTTATATTTGGCATATTTAACATTTTTGTCATTAGCCAGTACTCGCAAAACTGTTCTTTTGTGAACAGGAAGTCCTAGGGTCGTCTTTATCATTTGAGACGACATGTTATCCTTTATACCCGGAGTCACAATGGATCTTTTGGCACGTGCAGTAAGTTTTTCTTTTCTTCCACAATTTTGTCGTCCATTTTCACTGTATTTTTTTCTTACAAACTTGGAGATTGTGGTCCGATCTCTTCCAATCTTTCATCCTATTTCCGCAAAAGTCAAACCTTGGTCATAGTATGCCTCAATCTGTCCTTTTTCACGTTCTGTTAAATCATTTTCTTTGCCCATGGCGAAAGACAATTATTGTAGCTCAGCCAATTATATTTCGACACTTTATCAGTTCTAACAAACAATTGCATATCGTGGATATCATACAAATAAACAACAATTACGCATACTACGTTTTTCTAATTGATTTTTATACAAAAAGTGATGCGTGATAATTTTTTGTCTCAAAATTTCTTGACACAATTGAGTTTTCATTTAATTAATCAAATTATTTGATGCAAAAATATCACTGAAAAAAGCATTTTTGCATACTAAATTAACTTCTACTGGGTGTATTATTTAGTCAAAGGTCTAGATAATAAAAAATTCTTAAAAAATTGCACCGTGATAATTTTTTGTCTCGTACCTTATTACGAAAGAAGCCCATACGCCGCCCCGGTACGATGCTTATAGGTTTTAATATGTACGGCGATGATGACTTTTCGCGGCCGGACGGCGTTCGCTAAAGAAGAGCCTGGAAGCGGATGTCGCGACGGGTGTTCCAGAACAAGCCTAGAAGCGGTGACGGAGACCTTCGAGAAGGACCGCGCGGCTGTTTAAATGGGAACTACTGTCGGGAGCAGTTAGTGAAGTCCAGACAACGGGATTAGAGGATAGTCAAATCCATTAGTCAGCCAGTTCAGTCTACGAGAGTACAGTCAAGTTGCGCCGGATTTATTTTGTACATAATTGCCGTGTGTAATCAGTTGTGAAAATTTGAGTTATTGAGAAATAAAATTGTTGAGTTTTATCCGATTTTATTCACCGATCAACCTAACAATAGGTTGAAACACCTTTTCTCGAACCTAAAGTAAAGATGTCAAAAGTAAACTCTAATTCAGTTTTCTATTACAACAGTCCAACCAATGATTTTTTGAAACTCATGTGTACAATAAAAAGTTTATTTAGATAACATATAAAATAATATAAATCGTTTATAAATATAAAAAAATTTGAACTAAATCTTTGGTAGACACAACATTAACGTGACATATCTAATGGCTTTGTAAATATCAATAATACTGCAGTACTTGTTTATTTATTAGGCGTTGCCCTTAAGTTTTTCTTGCATTTGGTTTAACATCTCCTGCATTCGGCGAATCTGAAACATCAAAAATATACAAATAAGAACAAGACGTCACTAAATAGGTGCATATCAAGTATTTGTTCTTTATTATATTGAAGTAAAACTATTTTAACATGCACTGTGAATTTATCATTTTTCAATAATCTAAACCTTACGCAGTAAAAAAAAGTTGTGCAATCCTTCTAAGAAACTGTAGCCCGAACTTTAAAATTTTGATAAAACACTAACACTGGTTTAGATTACAGCATACCAACTTAATAACGTTTTTCTGAGCTGCGATATTTTGTTGATGATTAGAAACATGTTTTTATTTTTTACAACCAAGATTTCCAAGAAGTAATGTGTAAACTGTAATTACCTCAATCACGGTTTTTCAAGTTTATCTAAAATTCTGATGAATGATCATGCTCAGCATCAATATAAAGAAAATTAAAAAAAAATTAATTGCGTTGACGTTTAAATTTGTTTCTTCTTCAAGGCGCTGCAGATTATTAAAATTTGTCATTTTTGTTTCTCCAGTACTGTATTAGGTATATTCGACAAATAATCTTCATCTTAAATACTTCAATATGAAATGCTATGTGCACTTTAATATTATAATTTCTGTGTACCTAATATATTATGCTTTTTACTTCCTGAGCGTAAGCTAAGTATAGTAATCGAGTCTATCCGACGAATGGCCACTTTTATACCTTCTGGATGTTTCATGACCGCTAAAGTAGGTACGAAAAAAGTAGCCTTCCGTTTCCGTCCGTCTGACTGTCTGTCGCCTGTATCCATTTTTATTAGAGACGTAATCTCCGAAACTAGTGGACCGATTATTGTCAAATTTTGTACGTATATTAAGAATTTCATCTAGATGGTTAAACGCTAACCAAAATTTGATTAATCATCCTCACCAACAATCTGATGACGTCATTTCAAAGAATTCTATTTTAAAACCGATTTAAATGTTATGCAATAATAAACTCATATACGAGTACTTATGGTGCAGGAATCCGAATTTTTCCCTAAACGGCTAAAAATTAACACAGTATAATAGCATCTTACCATTAACCCGCGATATAAGCGACAATGATCAAGTGGTTGAGGCTTTTTGCGAATTTTATTTTTTATGAGAACCTCTATAAAGGCGGCCACACACACAGAGGGAAGACTGCGCAGTTAAAAGTGTGCACGCTTGTCTTAAGTTAAACCCGTACTCTCTAATTGCACACACACACTCATGCTTCCCCGTCAGTTCTGTAGCAAATGTGCATCGCTATACTAACGAACAAAAATGTTTATTTCATTACGGTGGCGTACATTTGTATTATATAAAAAAAAACAATTGTAAAATAAGTCAGACGTCATTTAAAAATACGGCGCTAATGAATTAAAACTCAAGCGTGCTACTTGTCTCCACACACACTGAGTTTTCCCCGCGTAGTGCACGCTAACAACAGACTGCACATGCCACATTCTTCCCCACACACTAGGAGTTAACTGTACCCCGTGGCACGTACATTCAAGTCTTGACTCTTCCCTCTCTCTGTGTGGGTGCCGTAAGTCGAAATAAATAGCTATATGTAAATATGTAATGTTAAAATAAATGTAAAGAAGCGTGTTACTCGTATGTTTCAAATGAATTTTTACTTTACAAAATTTTGTGATGACCTCATCAACACTTTTACACGGACGCGTTTGGATTGGTACAGTATAATACTAAAAATAACAGTATTGTATTCCTAAAATTTACTGGGAAAAATGGAATGAGCCGTTCCTTAATTAAGCAATAAAATAAAAAAATAAATTCATTCATTAACTGTTTTGAGCTCCCTGGTTAAGCAAATCTAAAAAATATGAATGAAATGATAAATTACAAGTATAGATTGATCATATTTTGCACATTTTAGATAGGATTTATCCGGCAAAAGTTTCAAATAACGTCATCAATTTTTTGAAGGTGATAAACAGATACATTTTATGCATATTGCAAAATGTTGTTTTATAATTATAATTTTGATTTTTTTTTCCAATGATCTGGCCGTTTCGGGTAAAAACTCAACACTTTCCTTACGCTCAGGGAGTAAAAATTTGTACAAGTCTTTATAATTTACGCCCCCGCGGCCTAAGGGCTGCGGTGGTGTTATTTATGCCGCTAGTTTTTACTTTATAGAGGTTATCATAAAACAAAAATCGCAAAATCTACTAATGTTATAATTTTTCAGAAAGGCGGAATTTGCTGGCCTTGTTCTGTCGAAATGAACTTCGACCAATTTTTTGTGCTTCATTCGTCTCTGATTTTTAACCTTAGGTGTGTAATCTTTTGAAACAAAATCAACCATGTAAAAATAGTTTACAATCGTTCCTAGCTCCGTTGAACTTTTTTGCTACATTATCTAATACAGTTAAAATTCTTAAAACATACAAAAATTATATCAAAATCCTAAATAAATGTTGATTGACTTTGTATCAATCAGCAATATAATAGTTTTTGTTAGAATCTAACTTATCAAAACAAAAACCATAATTAATATTAATTTTACCTCTTGGTCTTTTTGAAGCAACAGGCGATCGGTTTCTGAACAGTCAGAGTCATAAGGTGCAGAATCTCTTTTCAGTTTTCCTCTCTCTCTTGCATGTTGAGATATTTGCGAAATACACTGTGCCCTGAAATTTTCATAATGGACGTCTTCAGTTACATCCTTAAGATCTTGCATATGTGTAGAAATTAACATAGTTCTCAATTTTATAAAGTCGCTGTGCTTGGGATTTTCAACTAAAAAAATTATTGACATGAAATTCTGGCTAAAAATATCATTGAATTAGTTATTACCATCAACAACTCCCCATGGATATTGTCTTCCTCTTACTTTTCTACCAGCAACTTCTAAAGTGGTATTACTACCAACCACAGCGAAGGGTACGCTAGCTTTTAACTCTCGGTCTTGCTGCTTAAATTCTTCATCTTCATCACTGTCGCATTCAGGAAATTCGTACATCTGTGATTTTTTTTTTATGTACAGATAGTTTGAAATATTTAGTGAATACATACCTGAATCTGATGTTCCCTTATGTCGTTGATTATATTCTGTTTTAATTTAGTTATTTCACATGTAGTTAGACAATCTGCTTTAGCAATGACTACTACAATATTAACTTTTTGATGTAGTCTTTTCATCAATTCGAGATCCATTTGTCTTAAACTATGACCCCATGGTGGCACAAAATATAAGCAGCAATGTACCCGATTATCCTGAATATTTCGTCGATTCAGTCCACTTTCATCAGTGAAATACTGCCGGAATTGATCGTCAATGTAATTTGTGCAAACTTTCCAACTGTCCTCACAGTTGACGGCATCGCCAAAGCCGGGAGTATCAATCACCGTTAATCGAAGTTTCACTCCTCGTTCTTCGATCTCCATAGTTTTTTTCTCTATGGTTGTAGTTTTTTGAATACGTTCGCTGACGTCGGGAACTTTACGATTTTTGTACAGATCATCGAGAAAAAGACTATTGATAAGCGTTGATTTGCCTAGGCCGGATTCGCCCACCACCATAAGAGTAAAATCAAAGCCCCTTTTTACTGATTTACGGTGTACTTGATCTGGGAGTGTTGCAAATCCAATATAATCACGATCACCTTTGTCTGAAATGAATATCTTTAGTTGAACATTGCAAAGACTTTTTCAAAAAAATGTGCAGTTTTTCTGTTTATACGTATATGTAATTAGAGATGTTAAAAGAACAGTTTTTCAGTAAATGGATCCGACGTTTTTCTTTAAAACTTTTTTTTGTGTGTTTTTTGTTGTTACGACCATTTAACAGTTTTAATTTATGATAAATAACATACATTGGGTAAACTCACTAATTGTTCTTACTTTTAGAAAGTATGGCAAATTGCCTGTGCCCAGAGTTCGACAAAGAGAAACCTAATCTATGTGCTAGACAAAGATACCGTTTGGAGCTACGGTGCCGCAGACACACAGACAAAAGGGGTCAAAGTTATAACACCCTTCTTTCTCAGTCGGGGATTAAAAATGAACAGAAAGATAAGCTGGATGATGTATAATTTTTTTTTACATTCATTATCATTTTTTCATCCTCTTTGTTTTAAAAGAAAATTTTTCATGTGTTTTCATTTCCACTTCGGTCATTGTTTTATAATTAATTCATATTAAACGTACATACCTCCTTCTAACTGCATTACATTACTGGAAGAAATTTTCAACAATCTATAAATATTTTCTATCAAGTACCAAAAACCATCAAGGAAATGCTTGCGCAAACAATTGAGCATAATTTTCAAAATTTATGTGTCCAATATCTAAATGAATGAATTTGGCTTTTACTATGTGTTAACACGAAGTTTTAATTCCGATGCCATAGAATCATAATTTGCTAATGTTCGTCTTCGTAATGGCTTTAACGATTCATTGATTAAATACATATATGTATTTAATCAATGAACGATTTAACGGATTGCAAAGCAATAGAACATGCAATACGGCAAATTTTAAGAAATGCTTTAATAACAACAGTAAATTCTAGTACATAATACCATACTCGGTATTGAATATAGTTGCTGTAAGCGGTATCTACAAACAAACTAGTTATACAATGTCATTTTTTGTTGTTTTAATAATTTTTTTTTTTTTAATAAGTTATATAATTTTGTTCTCTCCTGTTCCTTTTCTGGAATCTTAAGAAAAAAAAAAAACAACAAACCCGAAAAATCTGCGTAAGATAAATTATTTGAATTACTTAGATTGGATTCAAAATTCGTAACACTTTGTCATGATGACAAGATTAGAAAAATACCTACCCTAGTGAGTATTTCTGACCATAACATACTAATTATAATAATTCTTACGGTCCATGGGGAAGTGAGCATCTATGGGCGGGTAATGTTAATTAGGATATAATTTTAACAATTTTTAACTTGAAAACTAAATAGTTCCTGACAAAACCCTATTAAAAAAGGTTGTTTTTATTGATGAGTTCTACAATTGATTAAAATTAAGGCACTTATTTATGACAGACTTGTATCTTATTATAAATAAATAAATACATAATTTGTTTTTGATTATGTGCATAATATCTTCTTATTTTAAAATAATTAAGTAGTTCCCCGTGATGCTGCAGTTTTGTTTGGAATTTGTTGACATTTCAATCCTGTTTTGTCCAAAAAATGGAATAGTTTTGAGGAAAACATAAGTTACGTTATGTGTTTATAATTAACATTTTATCTTTAACAATATATTACGCTATTAGATTATATTAAAACAGATGTCGCGGTACTTGAAATGTAATATCTTAAGGCAGACCTTCACCTACCCAGATTGTCAGAAAATATAAAATGCCAGTTGTAGTTTCATATGAGTATTTGAAGGAGTGACCGATATCTATATGTGTTCGTCATACAAAAATCTCTACAGAAGAAATGCTATTTTTCGAAATTTTGTTGTAGTTTTTCTTAAAAAAAATTACGACGAATATAATGTATAGGCCACATTATTAAGCATTTTGTAATCGTCGTTCATTACTCGCGAGCGAGGGCATAACAAACTTTGGTCTCTGCCCGACCGCCGAATTTAATAATAATAGTAATAATAAAATACGTGAGCTCGTTTTGTATAAAGATCATACAATATTTTGATGTAAAACATAAATAAGCTTATTGAGAATTTTATTGGGCATTGAGCTTAATTTTTTATTTACTTTTAAAATTATGACTTTTTAAGTTATCATAAAAAAGTAAGACAAAACAAATTGCAAGATATTGTTAGAACCAGGCAACCAAGTATACAGTCTCGAGATGATTTATGAGTTTATGACATTTCGGCAAGTCTAATCTTAATCTGATAATTGGCTGGGAACAAATAGTACCTACTTCTTGAATCCGAAACCTAGCTGAGTATGGTAGAATTCTTTAAAGTTTGGCAAGGTGTTATAAAACAGTATTTCTCTTTCTGTCTTCGTCCGACATACTGTATTTACGCAGTATACTTTCCATCCTTAAAATGCCAATAAGAAATGCGGGCATTCTTTATCTGCGTAAATACACTATGTCGAACGAAGATAGAAACAGAAATTGGTACACTTTGACAAATTACAACATGTTGCCAAAATTAAAAGATTCTACTATAGTAATTATAACTTTTATTCCACCTGTAGCCTACAATTCAAGGACTTGGGTCAGTTGCGCGCCGCGGTAAAAAAAATCTGTAGGCAGGTGCTCCTACTCTCAGGACAATTGCACGGAAAGGTCAGTTGTTTGCTGCGATCAAGAAGATTTCCATATAATTTTAACCACAAGTGCAGATTCATAATTTTTGCATATTTTAGATAGAATTCAGTAGGCAAAATTTTGAGAGCACGTCACCACTTTTTTGGGAGGGGATAAATGAATAAAGTTTAATGAACGATTTATCATGCTTACGATAACCTTAAAACGTTTGCAAGATTTCAGAGCATTCGGTTTTGCAATTTCAAAATTAAATTGCAAAATGTTGATATATATTTTTGATTTTTTTTTTTTCAAATATACGGATGTCAAAGGTACAACTAAGCAGGAATTTATAAAATATAAAAGTGCAAGTGTATGTTATTTTATAGAATTTGTTGCAAATTTTGCTCAAACAGCTTTGTAATGTAATTGTGTTTAAAAATTAAGGTAAATTCGTAAACTACAAGTGCGGTAGAATTTGTTGCAAATTTTGCTCAAACAGCTTTGTAATGTAATTGTGTTTAAAAGTTAAGGCAGATTCGTAAACTACAAGTGCGGGAGTAAGTATATTATTTTATGACATTAAAACACATTTAATGTACAAAATTTTGAGGGCACGTCATCAAATTATGGATTACACAAATTTTGGTTGGCGTTTTACTATCTACACGATAATTCTAAAATGCATATAAAATTTGATAATAACCGGTTCGGTAGTTCCAAAGATTATCTGTCTAATAGAAATCGACACAGACGACAGACAAACAGACAGAAAATGGAGAGAACAATTTTTTCGTAGTTCATGAAACGTCGAGAAAACGAAAGTAGTTAGTCCCCGCTTACGCTCGGGAAAAAATAAACCAGATTATAAAAATTTTAAGCCGTTTATGTTTTCAAATAACCAAATAACAGTCAGAGAATAAATAACTCCACAAACCCTACCTCCTTATTATACCTCTAATTTCAGAAACTGAGCCCTTATGGACGTTTTTTCATGGAAATTCAGTAATATTTTGTTATTTAAAATGTATATACCGCAGTTTATCACAATAAATAGCTCACACTATACGTAGGTATATACTTGCCGAAAATTAAATCGTAAGTTTTACTTCGTTCTGCAAAAAAGTTGCTGACTTTCTCAAAAAACTGAAATTATACATTATTAAAGAATGATAAACGGTTTAATTTAGAAAAAAGCTGAATTTATAAAATTTTGTCAACTTAATTACACCATGCCATGAATGAATGAAAAGTTACCTCGTACAAAAAGGAATCTACATTATGTGTATTATCGAAACATGCTATAAACGATTTATCTAATCTACCTTGAATTGTATAAAGACCATATTATTTAAAGAATGTAAAATGTTGATAGTTAAATTTTTTATCTTTAATAAACAGGTTTTATGCGACCGTTAAACTAATAGATTTGAACGTGTTGTACACAGTTTAGGATTCAAGGTTTGCGCAAAAATGTGGAAATACCTGGAATATATTTATCTCAATACGTAACTACGATTTCCTTATATCATATAACTCAAAGGGTAATAACTTTTTTACACTTATCAAAAAAAGTGTTTTTCACATAAACGTGAATACTATTAAATTTAAAATTCAGATGATATTGTAAGGATCCAATTCGAATTTTTAAATTTCAAACGAATTCCGCGCGCACAAGAAACGGTTAGTGAGAAGAAGGAGAGGTTGGCAACCAACCACCCCAAAGAAACAGACGTGCGCAAAGCGAAGGTGGTATTGTCTTGAGAGATGAGTCACTTCGCTTTGACCGCTTGGAACAAACGGTCGATTTCTTTTCGAGCGCTTCGAGCAACAGGTTGTATTTTTAATTGTGAATTATTCTGTGCCTTTTGCTGTTGTGTTTTGTTTTTCCAGTGTTGATCCAGTTCCATTGGAAAACCTAGCAGCCACCGTTGAGCCATTGGGTGTTCCTGATTTCTCACCGTTCTTACGACGAGGTTTTTGTGTTCCTTTTGGCGGTAAGCTGTGTCGAAATCTTCGCATCTTTGGAGAGGTATGTTTTGAACACCTGTTTCGCCGCGAGTTTTCAAGTCCCGACGATACTTCTGACCTCGTGACGCAGCGACGCGTGCGCTTGTTTTTCCACTAATCTCGTTTTTTTTATCTTTCATTTAAAATCCATCGCAGTAGGGCTTTACAGGAAGTGATTTCTAGTTCGGGCCATGCTTTATTTAGCTATATTTGTGAAATCTGTATTTTGGATGGCGGCAAACGAGTTGTTATTTTCACCGTTCTTTGTTCAGGCAGCGGCCATTTTGAAGCCTCCATTTTGTTTCTTTTAAACGAGCACATGTTTTAACTGAATCTATTGAACAAAATAACAACATTGTGGGTCATGGGGGGACGTGCCTTTATTCTTTGGATTTAGCACATCGTTTATA